ATAAACAGTGATGGCGATAACACATATTTGTCAATTGCAATTAAAATACTTATACTTATTTAACTTTGATTTGACTTTTTATATAATGTTATTTTTAACATTTGTTGAATAGTAACACAGATGCACCTTGTTCTACATTTTAATTCATTATTTTTTATTTTATTTATAACATAATAACCAGGACTGTGTGGTTTTATTATACACTTCGTATTGTTTGTACTTATATATTATATTACTTTTATTTTGTTTGTATGTTTTACTGTGTATCTAAACATATATACTATGTATATAATTATTTTACTTTATATAGTGAGCATCTTAAGCATAGACATTTCCTTTGAGCCTAATAAACTACTACAATATATATCTTTTAATTCTTAATTTTATTTTCATTCATATTTCATTTCATTTTTAACTTTATCAGATGAAAAAGCTAGTAAAAGGTTGATTATGTCCCATATTAGTTCTAATTAAAATAATATGTGATGATTGAAATCACCCAACCATAAGTGTATAACCTATAAAGTTTGTAACAGCAGGTGGCAGACTTCTCATTAAAACAAGTCAGTGAAGTCATTAGTGGAAGTGATGTATGTGCAATTTAAAAAAAGCTTAAATTATATGTAAATATTTTAACAGAAAATCCAGTGGCTTACTGCGTGGAATTATATTATCCTAATAATGTCGCAATGAGGGTGTTTTTTATTTTAAAGAAAAGGATGTGACTGTCAAAGACTCACACACCTGTCACACCGGTCTCAGGACGATGTGGACGCTCGCTGCAGTAAATACACAACAAGGAGCCAACCCATAAGCAAACTGGTGAGAAATTCCCAGACAATCTCCAAGGTGAAGAAGTCAACTGTTGAAAAATGACACCTTAAGGAAGTAGAGGTCACCCGATGGCCGTGCACTTCCCTCATGCGGCCCATTTATCTCCAGACTATGTGGACGAGAGTTCAAAACAGATCAAACGGAGACCAGTTTGACCCAGAGGAAGAAGATGTAGTCCACTGGTTGTTGACACTTCTGAGAAAATGACAATAACATACAACCTGGGAATAGTTGTAGGTCACATCATTCAAGAGGGTTCTGCATCCCAGAACACCCAGGAAGTCACAAACTGAATAAAAGATGAGAAAGTCTCTCAGAATTCATTAAATAACTAATATAAGACTCAAGTGTTTTTCTATGCATGTGTATGGTTTATTTGAGGCCGCTTATAAATCCTTAAAAAGCTACGGAAAGTCTTAAAAGGTTTGTTTTGGCAACCTGTACACCTGAAGCAAAGATTGTTATGTCCAGCAGCCTGGGGGGAAGTTGGCTCTCCTTCTTGCACCCTAAATGTTGCTGTTTGCTGAGAGAATTAACACAAAGTATCAAAGTCCACTTTGGTCTGGCAGAACCGGGACAGACATCAATCACACACCAACAAAACATCCAGGGGCTTCCTCTTCCCTGACAGGCCCACGGCACCACGGCACTGCACACATCACCACAGTTCACTGCCGTCAGAGCGTCCGGATGTACAATCTGTTTCAGTTTGGTTCACGCAGAAGATAAAATGCAAATAAAATACTGATAAAGATGCTCATAAAAAGGCTTTGACAAAAGAACACCCCTCAAGGTGCACTTACTAGCTTTCAACCACATTTTATTCTGCAGCAGAGCTGGTGATTGAAGTACTATTTCAATAAAAGAGCTTATTTTTATTTTTAAATATTTGCTATTTATAGTATTTATAATACTGGACTATTTTATTGAATTCTAGTTGTCCCTTTTCTTATACTGAGGACTTTAGTAATATATTAACTATCTTCTGTCTTAGTATTAGTTCACAATAATGGGTATTCAGTCTAGTTTTGAGAGATATTTTTAATGGACCACTGAAATCTTATTGTATGTAGTATTGTTTATGACTTTTTAAAGACATCTGGCAAAAGGGGGCAAGTTTGTGAATTCCTGTTCTAATGTTTCAGACTGCTAGAGAAAGATCAATAAAAGGAATAGTTTGACATTTTTACACTTTATTGCAGAGAGTGAAATGAAAAGGCACATTTTTTACGCTTTGAAAGAAACAAGATATAACTTAATTAGTGAGCTTTAGAGGTGTTAGTAAGCATATTTATATACCTTTGGACAGAGGCTAGCTGTTTCCTCCTGTTTCCAGTCTTTATGCTAAGCTAAGCTAACTGGCTGCTGGCCGTGCATTCGTATTTGCCGTACAGACATGAGAGTGGTATCAATCTGCACAACTAACTCTCGGCAAGAAAGCCATTAAATGTATTCCCCAAATTGTCAATCTTTTGCTTTAAAACAAAGTCTGCTATCCTGCTATTCCCTTTTTTGTACAACCACATACAACATGTTATTTTAATCAGTCCTTCACTCAGCTTAGTAAAGACATTTGTGAGGAGAATGTTATATAAAAACATTTCAAATGTCCCCCATTAGACCACAGTTATCAATGAATCATGTCAAACCGTTAAAACTCTTCTGGGATCATGTTGAAAAACTTCATTCTAAAACCTTCTGAACACGAATGCGTTTGCACCAAACGTTATGTGTCTTTTCCACTTCTCAGACGTGTGCGAGTCCCATTCATCTTCCTCCACTGAACCACTGGTGGGCTCACCTCTCTGACCGCCTGTGTGTGTGGTAACCATGAAAGCATCTGAAATAGCAAACAAACATAAAACAGCTGTCTGGTTAAAGGAAGGAGGGAGAGGATCCAAACCAGACTAGAGGTAAACGTTGGCGTGTTGACTCTCTGCCTCGCACAGACCGAGCAGACAGAGACGCTCTGTTGTCAGGGCTGTTTCAGACAAATAAGCTCATTCCAGAGGTAACACGATGACCCCTGTGTGTTGTTTTTTTTTTTGTTGGCAATGCTGAAGGTGTAAAAAAAGACATGATGGTGATAACAAAACAGATGGGGATGTATTCAAGGTGTTAAAATGAGTAGCTGTGCTCAGTCGTGGGTACATTTTTACACTTTACTGCAGCTTTATTTTGCAATGATTTGTGATTTAAATGTGTGTTTTTGAGTAAGAAGGGTTTTGGGGTTAGGAAGTGATCGTTACTTGACCTCAGATATCAAAGTGGTTTGACTGCTGGAGGAAATTATAACACATTGTTAATAGAAATGTCAGAGCTCTACCACCCTGTTTATCTTTCTATATTGACACAGAAATACATATTGAAACTTACAGTTATATGAGAGTCTGATATAATGCCTCTTTTGTATCCAGATCCATATTTTAGATTTCGATTCTCCCAAATACCTTAGTACAGACTGAAACTTTACCTTCATTTGGTCACAAGGTTTCATAAAGATTTACATTGTGGGATTTATTATAATAATATTTTTAAGGGAATTTATTAAGAGAAATTGATCTGAATGATCAGATCTTATCATAAGTCAAAAATAATGTTTTCTTCCTCAAGAAAATGTTCGTTAGGAGTCAATAAGACAAACTTTAAAGTTAGAGTTGTTAAGATTTTCATAAAACTAAGCTGCATGTTTTTACTATTTATGGTCAGAACCTTTTAAGCAACAGCCATTCAATGTATGTACATCATGTCATTACGTCTCTAGCTTTCACTGTTTGTGGCAAACTCCGCCATTCCCATGCTCTTTCAAATTGCTTTGCACAATGCATGCGTATAATATAAAATAATTTAAATTACTGTATTTATATTTTAATTTGACTTCACTTGACAACAGTATGTTCAGTGTTATTTCACACACAATATTATAATTACCACCTTCTGGTTAAGAACTCAAAAATAAAAAAATATTTCGCAACAAACTCCTTTGCTGTTATTTAATTGTTTATTTTGTCTGCTTGGTAACATTTATGATTCTTTTATGTCATCTTATAACATTCACAGACACAGAGGATGAAACATTTATCATTCACATAATACACTTGTAACAATAAAACTTTTGATAGTTAAACTATTTTAACAGCCATAATAAAGAATATATGCATAAAATATCTAATTTAGGAAATATTTTAATTGTTCAATGCTTCAGAGCATAAAGTCAATTTAAGTAAATCCAATTCATTTTTTATAAAAACGACTATATACAATATGTAACTTTGTACAAACAGGACATAAAACATTCATAATACAGAACAGGAGAAAAATAATACTTCTTTTCTTTGGTTATTATACATCCCACTATGTTCATCTAAGTGTTTAGACAAAAACTTTTACAGCAGTTTCAAAACATTGAATTTAAAATGTATAAAAATCCCAGATCAACTATATTGTTACACAGCGGTCAGTAACTGGAAGGACATCGGTTTATGAATCACAGCTTCCCTCGATGTGCGGTTGAAATCCATACAGTAGTTAAAGGAGGGTGGATGACAGGAAACCAGCTGGTCGTCTCTGCAGAAAGTAAATAATCAAAAGGTGAAATTGTGTGGCGGGTAGGAGCGCTTTTACTATAAATCCCTGTATGAAAAAGAAGCAGTTAATACCAACGACTGTGTCCAGCTTTAAACACGGCCCACCATGTTCTCCAGACGCTCTATTCGCCCAGACACGTCGGCTAGTGAGACCAGTCAAGGAAACTCTTTCACGTGAACAATCAGAGGATGAAAACAGAACGAGAGATGGTGGTCGTAATGCTCTCTTAAACATATACAAGACACACTGTTAAACAATACAGCAGCAGGTAGAAATAAGCAGCTTTCACCTCAGTGAAATGTGCTGCAGAGAGTGTTTATAATAAAATGTCTTCCATCTGGAACAACAGGAAGGATATGCTTGGCTGTCAGCTGCTGAATGGCGGCCTGCGTCTGCTTTTGGAAAGCCAGTCTGGCTTCACATTTACAGGGATCCACCTGCACCACCTCCACCTTCACCTCTTCTGCGAGCAAGAAAATTTCACACCAGTGTAACAGAACATGTAGAGAGGGAAAAAGCACACAAAATACCAGCCATGCTACCTTTTCCAACTAGGTTGCCAAAATGAACAAATAGACACATTTAAAGATAAATACTACCAAATACTACAATATTAATTCACCATTGCTATTCTGCCACAACAATAAAGCAATTATAGGGACTCAATTCTATAATATTATCTGATAATTGTCCAACAAATGCTACAGCCAACCGTGAATTACAGAGTCGGGAATTATGCACCAGTTGGTTGTGATGTTGTGAAGCTCTACACATTGCTTTTAAGGCTTTTACACATATCATTTTAGCACTTTATCACAGCAAAAAGTCACATTTGCTGCAGGAATCCATTCAGTATCTCCTTACGTTTCAGGGAGCATGTTTTCTTGTCGGCATTCAAGATATAACCATTCCGGCACTTGCAGTAATAGGAGGCATTGGTGTTGACACATATGTGTTCGCAGTCATGTCCCATGGCACAGGGGTCCAGACCTAGAATGAGCCAGGATTAAGGGATGGCGCTGTCAAGATGGCAGCATGGATACAGTTTCATGTGCAAGCATACAGTATACTATAAGTAGGTAGGAAAGGTAAGTTAGTGCAATAATCAACTAAACTAGTTCATGGTTATCAGAATCTCTTTCTAATGGAGGATATATGTTATCAAAAAGAAAGAAAATAAACAGTTTTTACTGCTACGGCTATTTTTGATTCAGTTTGTGATACATTTTAAGTTCAAAAAATTATATTTGCCAGCTTTTCTTAGTTTATACTTGACCACATGTGACTTGCGGTGGAAAACTCGGTCCATACTTACACCTTCACCACATTTCAGCCAAGGTCATTTGCGAACTGCTTAGGTTCACTGTGTGTTGGACAACAGGTAAAATCACAGAACCCTGAAGTACAACAGCAATGACAGTTCGTGGACAAATTAACAAGTTTGCAGCAGAACCTCATTTGTCAAAATCGTGGGCAGCTAATTCTGTAAAATTCTGTAATTCAGATCAGCAAATTGCTTTAGATTATTGAAATTTTAACACATATCACCAGCAGCAAAGCAGCTTTCTGGGAGTCATATGCATGTAGACAAGTGTATTACTGTATGTGCAGGTTGTCTTATGACTGAATCAAGCCATATAAAGACTAAACATGTCCATATTTAAGTTATCATTATTGCATTAGTTTGGATGCCTTGGTTGCCAGATTGGTTTGAAAAAGTGAGTTTCTGCTGTACATTAAAATCATTTAACACCTTTAAAGTAATCAACCTAATGATTATTTTAATACAAATAAAAAATGATCACTATATAAATAAAGGCTGAAAGTTTAGGGCTGCATGGCCCCAAGACTTTACACCGGTTTAACTTTGCGACTACAAGCAGGTTCTAGTGCCGACATCTGCAGTCCATGTGGGGGTTGAGAGCATCTGGTCTTGTATTTTCCCCTTATGATTTCAGAGTTTAAAATTCATCAATAACACAGTAAATGATCCACAATCTGCCACAAAACCCCCTGTAGACTGTAGGTGCCCCTTACTGAGGAACTAGAACCAGGGTTAATGGTGGGAAAAGGGTCTCCCAGGCTTCTCTGTCCTACCGCACAGGGTCTCCCTGAACTTGGAGGTGAGCTTCTCAATAACACCATAGGTCTCCACATAGAAGACGTGGTCATCCAGAGGGATGCTGGCCATCTGCTGCAGGGAGCGCATATCAGCGCGGTCCACGCCGACAGCGTAGATCTCGATTCCTGAGGCCCGAGCTGCAGCAGACACTTCCTCCACCTGGTCCTGAGGTCTCCCGTCTGTCACGATGATGGCCACCTTGGAGATTTTCCTGGAGCGAGGCCTGGATCCAGACTGCTCGGTGAAGGCCTCGTTCACTGCGGTCTTGATGGCGAGGCCGGTCATGGTGCCAGCCGCCAAGGGCTCGATGCGGGTGATAGCTTTCTTCAAGTCGGGTTTGTTGAAGTGGTCTTTGAGCAGGAACTCGATCTTGACCGTGCTGGCGTAGTTGACCACAGCCACTCTGGTGGCATCCGTGCCCACGTCCAACGTGTCGACCATGTCAGCCAAGAATATTTTCACCTTCTCAAACTCACCAGGACGCACGCTGCGAGAGCTGTCAATGATGAAGACCAGGTCCAGGGGACGGCTCCTGCACTGAGAGTCTGTCTCTGGTGATCAACCAAACCATGGCGGGATTAAGTCCATGTGATACTCAGAGAAACAGTCAAGTTTGTCGGTTAAACTGTCACCGTGAGAGTGATACAGTTAACAATCGAGAACAAAACACAGGACACTTATGGATGTACAATACTCGTTCCCATGGTAACAAAAGGAAACTGTTGTGCATCACTGCAGTGGTAAAAATAAAAGGTTGTGGTTCTGGTGAAATGATATAGCATGCCATCATTCATACTGTATCATTTCAGCATTTCAAAGGCCCAACAGAGACATTTCATATCCTTTTATCTCATTTCCCTGAATGAAAAGGATGCTTGATGCCCACATATAGAAAGTGACACCACACCTGAAGAGGGAGACGGTGTTAGGAGCCCTGCCTGTCAAATCATATATACTAAATTATATTTCTGCAGCATCAGATACACTCTGCTTCTTCACAGCAAAAATACTCCTATTTGTTTTCATAAATTCAGGATGAATAATGAAGTTAAATAACATTTCAGTCTATTTAGAAAGCTACTTATTTTGTCTTCTACCACTAAAATATATTGCCACCAACAAGTTATATCACTTGTAAATACAATGACATCTGCTTTAAAGGAATAGTTTGACATTTTGGGAAACACTCTTATTCGGTTACTTGCAGAGAGTTCGATGAAAAGAACCATACCACTCTTATGTCCGTACAGTAAATATTAAGCTAAAGTCAGCAGAAGGTTTCACTTAGATTAGCGATAAAGAGACCTGGTACATAGTATCACCTACTTAAATAAGAACCCCACATCGATAATTTACAACAATTACATATAACACAACAAAACAGGACCTCCAAATGATGACTTTCTAGATTAAGTGTAAATTAGTGAGTTCTAGTGGTTATTGTTATGTGGATTTTGTACCTTTGGACAGAGCCAGGCTAGCTGTTTCCCCCTGTTTCCAGTCTTTATGCTAAAGCTAAGCTAACAGTCTGCTTGCTGTAACTTTATATTCAACAGACAGATTTTAAAGTGGTGTCAATTTCCTCACCTCACTCTCAGCAATAAAGAGAATAAGCGTTTCTCACAAAATGTCGATTTATTCCTTTAAATAAAAGAATAAATGCTTTAAGTGGCGTTTGCATATTTCTATTACAAACAGAACTGACCTGGAAAGCATTGAGGAGCATTGGTTGGGTTGGAAAAGCAAACCTGACTATAGGCAATATTCTACCTGTCTCCACAGCACTGACGGTGGTGATGAAGCCGCTTTGCGTACTGACCGGTAGCGTCACGGGAGCTGTGGTCTCCACCGGCGCCACAGTGGTCACCACCACTGGCATGCTGGTTGTCACCGGCGCCACCGTGGCCGCTGGCCAAGTTGGCTGCACTGTGGTTGGCTGTGGTAGAGGTGGAAGGGTAGGGAGGTGTACCACGGGTGTTGTTGGTACTGTTGGGTCTGACTTTGTTGGGCATGGACCTTTCAGTTTGTAAGGGAAGGGGCCTTTGAGCCTTTGGTGGGGGTGGTGAGCTACTGGTGGAGACAGACCTTTGTATATGTGGTGCACGTGTGGTGCCACTGGCCCTTTGAATCTGTGGTGATAGGGCGGCATGGGGACTGAGGGTCTGTGGTAAGTCACCGGAGGAGATAGAGGAAAAGGTCGATACACTACCGGTGGAGGGATCCTTGGTGGCTGGTAGTGGTAGTGATACCCTCCTCTATACGTGTAATCACTTCTGTGAACTACAGCGCCACCAGAAAGGAAAAGTGATACAGAACATTAGTAGGTTGAAAGTAGGTAAACAGGAAAGTTGTGTAAGTTGACACTTGTTAAAGTACGTTGTAGTGGAATATACAACAACTTGTTTTCTTTCTTGGGAGCACAGACAAATTATTAGTTGAAGCATGAGTGTAAGTTCAGCAACCCTGGGTTGTTTGCAACAAGCTGGGATTATCCTGCATAAAGCTTGTGAAACACCCAGACAAGAATTTCAGATTTCATGCATGATGTGCTTGAGAAAAACGGAAAATCCTGTCGTTATACTTAGATTAGATTATACTTTAAGTTGAAATATCTAGTCTTAGTAGGCCAGGTCTAATTTTAAATTTACAAAAATAACTCTTTTAAAATGTAATCTGCAAGAAAAAAATGACTAACATTACTAAATAATTAGCATTTTTATGTAAACAGAGATACAAAAGTTCTAATGTGGCTATAAAACAGTGCAAATGTAATTTAAAAGTACATTTACTCAAGTACAGTGTGATGGTTCTTTACTTTAGCTCTTCCAATTTATATATATATATACTTCTACTTTTGAGAGGGAAATGTACTTTTTACTCCACTACATTGATTATATTTACTAGTTAAATAATATTTTACACACAGAAACAACAATGGCCTCAAAGTTAATGTGATCTCCATCTACGACATTAACAGGCCATTTATGAATACTGCAAATAATCCAATAATCTGATTTACTGTATAACAATAAACACTGTTAGGGTTATTTTTCTGCATAAAAAAGTGCTTTTTACTTTATTGATGACATGTTTGTAGTTTTAGTAAAATTTTGAATGCATTTACTTATTATAGTGTTTTTTAGTGGTAGAGGAAGTATTCAGAGCTAAGTAAAAATAAGACAATGTAGAAATACTCCATTACAACTAAAAGTCCTGCATGCAAAGTCTTCCTTAAATGCAAAATGTACTTAATGTATCAAAGTACTCATTCTGCAGAGAAATGGCCCTCAAAGCTTAGTTTTAACTACTTTATATTCTGTTAGCTAGTTTAGGCCGGTGGGTTCTCAATCTAGGTTATTAATTTTTTGATATTTATATTTTTGTGACATTTTGAACACTTGAACCTCAAACTGTTATATAGTTTATAGTGGAAATATCTCTTTTATTAGAACTGCTAACAACTACAGATCCTTGTCACATAGAAAGTAATTTATAGCAATACATTTTATAATAACAAATAATAATAAATACAATATATATAGAGAGAGATAATTTGTGGAGTAAAAACTACAATATTTCTCACTGAAATGTAGTGATGTGTAAGTATAAATGACCTCAAACTGTACTTGTAGCATTTGAGCAAATGCAGTCCATCAGTGGCGTTTTTACACTGAAACTGTAAGTTTCATAAAAAGTAACTATTTTTTTAGTTTCTGTCAAACTTACTTGCTGGATTCAGGGTCCTGGTCGGGGGTCGGCCATTGTTCCTGGTCTGTGCGTAGCTCTGTGCGGCTATGAGCTGAGGGTCCCCCGCACTGAGGTGGTATGTGGCCCGAGCATCAGACAGCAGCAGTGAGGCGCAGTACAGCAGGCTCCACAGAGGCTTCATCGTATCTGCGTATCAGAGCCCTCCGGTGGTCTGTCCGGTGCCTGCTCTCAGTCCTCAGGGTCCTGCTCAGCTCACCGGGGGGGTCGGACCGCCTCCACACGTCAAACTTTCTGCCCAATCCAAAGGTGGGACATGACCTTCAGACCACGGTGACAGACGGTATGGAGGACGGTATAGAAAATGACTCAAATATCTGTCCCAGGATGGTTCGTATACTTCTATTTTATTTACCATTTTATTTAACTAAATTTATATTCGCGGAACTATTAAATAACACTTCAATAGATGCATTACCCCCCACATTTAAGTATAAATTAGGTTTTAAAGACTTTAACACACCGAGAGGAATAATGGAGAAATGTCTACTGAAAGTAATCACATTTAAACGTCTAAAAATAGTGAAATAAGCTCAAAAAATATCCAACAGATGAACTGTAATAACATTTAAACTGTCACAAGTAACCCTAAACTTTTAAACTTAACTTCATTAATAAATAAATAAAATGAAATACTGAACACTTGTTTGTGATAGTTGGCTTAAGATGATGAGAAGTTGTTGGATGAACCTACAGGATAGTTCGAGCAACACTTTATGTTCTAATTAATCAGTAAGTAGGTCAAATTCATTGTTTAAAGGTCCAGTGTGTAACATTTAGGAGGATCTATTTTTATATATGTTTATTTTATATTTATATTATATAATATTCATGTTTTCATCAGTGTATAATCACCTGAATATAAGAATCATTATGTTTTCATTACCTGAGAATGAGCCGTTCTTATCTACAGAGGTCACCTTACATGTTGAACCACCATGTTTCTTCACTTGGAAGGGGAGGGTGAGGCAAGGGAGGTGCAATCTGCCACTACACTAGATGCTACTAAGTTCTCCATCTGCACATAAAACCATCTCATTCTAAGGTAACAAAAAACAACGATTTTCATTTTCAGGTGATTACACAATAATGAAAACATAGATATGAACATTAAAACACATTTTGAATATTTCCATGAGGACTGCTGATGTGCTGATGAACATCATGTGATATAAAAGCTTCAGATGAGCTAGAAGTGGCTGTTCGAGGTAAGATTGTTTTCTTTTTGCTTTAACTTAAACACACAGACGTGAAAAAAAGAGTCATAATGACATAAATGTTCTGAAAGTTTTATTGAAGTTTTTCCACTAAAATCATATTACCAGAAAAGTAATGGCGGCGTTGGGGGGGTGTGGTGGGGTGGAGCCACGCCATATATTGGTGTTGGTGCCTGGGGGGAGCGCTGGCTTTGTTGATAAGCATGCAACTACTAATGTTCACAAGACTAGCTGTTTGCTTCCAGATGGTCTGGGTGAGAAAGAAGCAGGGAAAAATGATCCATCATCAGTGCCCTCTGCTTGTCTCTCTGCAGTCTTCAGCTGGAAAACTATTCAGTAGCTTTGCTGACACATCAGGGCAGCAGAGGGTGATGAAAACATCAGGGATGGTTGTGAACTGAACCACAGCAAAGCTAAAATAAATAACAGACAAAAAAAGTGCTACAGAGTCCATTCAAGGCTGAGCTGGAATAGTCTAGATCTTAATAGTATGGGTGGGGTGGGGGGAGGGGGTAAGTAACACACAATTCAACAATAAGAGCTATAATAAGTGGATGTCATAATAGATTTTTTTTTTTTTTTCACTTCATATATCAATCTATAGATAGGATGGTGCTGGATTGATGATAGCATTTCAAGCAATTTTCACATGTATCCCTTTTACTAAGACATAAAAAAAGGCTAGAGTGGGAGTGGGGAGGGGAGGGCTGGTAGCTTTTCAAACATCACATTCATTCAGATTTCAGTCTTTTCCCACCTTTCCTCCTCTCACACCTCCAGGATGCTCGATACAGAAATACAGAGAGGGGACGGGTCAGACAAAACATTTTTCAGTGGCCTTACACATACACAGTGGGTCAGAGGGAGAGGGCAGGGCGTAATGGGTGTTCAGAAAGGGATAGTGAGGGAAGGTAGGAATGCATATGGTGGTGTGGGTGTGCGTGTTTTGGCAACAGTGCTGGTGCTTAAGCGGGCATGTAAGGGGAGGCGGTCTCCTTCTCTGGCATCTTCATGCCAAATACACTTCAACGCTACACTGCCACAATCCTCCGTAGTAT